TTTAATTCTTGTTTAATTAGTTGGTTTTTTGTCCATGGCTAAACAAGAAGAGGTCCTATATGTTGTGTAAGGTGGGTTAAGTTTAATTAATCTGATAAAAAAGAGTGACTAAGTGTTAGAGAAATTGGGTCTAATTGCTATAATAAATCACATAGAAAATCAAAAAATAATTCATGCAATTATATATCACAATAATGCAAGCATATGAGTAACCAATGTTAAATAAACATGATATAATGGATTAGAAAAACCTAGAAAATACAATCGAGGCAAGTGTTGGACACTTTGTCCTTAAGACAAATTTACGCCCCACTACGGTGCTCATGATTATTCGGTGCATGTCTCCCAAGATACAACGACCACATCCTTATAATAGTAGCACTCCAAATCACAAGGCTCCATGAACCACGATTGTGTTGAAAACTCTCTCATATGGACTCAATGAGACTCTCTAATATTTAGTGCACTCTATGTATGATTATGTAAACAATGAAAAGTTCTAATTGCTATATCAGTAATTATAAGGGGCTTCCCTATTTATAAAATGTGAGATACCTCTTTGGAAAGCATGTGACTATTCATGAAGAGTCAAAAGTTGCAACACTTCATTTAAGTAGACATATCTTTCTACCAAAAAGCTCCATTTCTAATTTCCATTCAATTAATAAATTTAATATAATAATAACATTATTAAATTTTCCAACATTAAGGATTAAAATTAGGGTTTTTGTTTAGGATTAATCTGATATATTCTTGTACATCCAGTGTTTTTGTCTTCAAACAATTATTCGTAAATGTATGTTGAAGCACAAATTTTCCATCGCGAAAACAAATATTCAGTATGTTTTTCATTACTTTTAAAAAATCCTGTACTAGGCAACTGAAACATGAAAATTTAGGGTTGAAAAAATTGACATAGTCATTACTTTAAGTGCAAGAAAAAAGGGACTAAACTTCAGTGGATGTGTTGATCAACCGTTGCAGTTTCTGCGGAAAATGCATCAAACCTAAAGAACTTGATGTCAAGAGGTCCGACCTTTCTAGTGAGTTCGTGTTCGGAGTCACTACTGCTGCTGCACAAATGGAAGGTGTAAGTTAATTGTGGAACGGAAAAACTTATTCACAATTATCAACTTAACCACTTACATGTGGAAGACATAATCTCAAAAAACTAGGTCTAAGAACTGAAGTTCTTCTGCAGCTCTACACAACTAAAAGTAAGGCTCGCTCAATGGGGCTTGAGTTTTTTGTAAACTTGTGTATTTAGTGAGATAGTAGGGACCTCAGTTTTATACTGTATACAATGGATTTCAATACCTCCCATTAAGTGATCCTTATTGTTATCACCGTGAAACACTTATGCATTATATCAGCTAGAAGAATTCTAATTCTATCGAGAATGTATCTGACTTGAAACTTTAATAAATACAACTTCTGATAAGTCTACCACAAATGTCAATCCTAATCTCTTATCATTTCGAATATCTTTGATCAAATCATCAAGTGTTTGCTCTCATATAGAACTTACAGAGAGATCTGCAAAAGAAGCAGGAAGAGGACCAAGTGTTTGGGACTACTACGCTTAAAAATTCCCAGGTTTAAATATATACGAGCTGTTAAGACATATTATAATGCATGCACGGAATGAGAAACTTGGGCCTAGTAGAGCTAATAACATATAATTGAATTTTGCTTACCAAAGTCGTCTTACTAAAAGTAAATAAGCAACCTGTTCGATCCGTTTCATAGGGCTAGCTGCTTTCTTTATCTCGCTTTTCTTTTCTTAGTTTTTGTTGGCAGTCCCACATCAGTGGGGAAAGTTAATAATGGTGGCTTTAAATATGATTACCTTACTCTAACTAATACTGAGACATTTTGTGGTAAAACTTCACACCTAACTAAACGGGCATATGGTAAAGTTGGGGACAATATCGGTATCGTTAGTGTGGGCCTTCCCCCGGCCCGTTGATCTAAAAAGTTTCAACAGTTTCATATGCTCATTCTATTTTGTTTATTATTGTTTTGTTTACATTTAGAACGGATTGCAGACCGGATTGCAGACAAGAACATGTTTACAGCCATCAATTCATACAAAGCGATACAAGGTGATAATTAAGTTTCTCTCATCTTCGGCATAAGATTTAACCAAAAATATTTGTAACTATAGGATGAGGTGAAGGCTCCAAGAAGATGGGAGTTGATTCTCACAGATTTTCCCTCTCTTGACCCGGATTCTCCTAATAAGTAACCATAATTTTACCTAGATTTATTGTCTGCTAATAAGCAGTTTCATGGAAGCTGCATGTTTACGTTTAATCTCTACTAAAATTTTTGACCTGTTCGAAATTTACAATGTTTAGACAGAACCTTGAATGATGGAGGAAACTAACAGGGCATCGATCACTACAACAACTTCATCGACGAACTAATAAAAAATGGTAAAAAATCTGTTCAAAAAAATCCATTACACTACGACATTATCTTGTTATATTATTATAGATAAGTTTGTTGAATCTGTATATCCAGAATTCCGTAGGTTTCTTTGAAACCCAATGAGAATTTCAGTTGAATTTTGTTTACATTTGTACTAATTTGTACCACATCGACCACGCAATATAGACACAGTGCTTTATATACGAGGTTACTTGTGCACTGTTCGCCGAGCTCAGTCACCCGAGCTTGTAACCCAAGTGGGGGCACCAAGGTGGTGGGACATCGGTTCGACTCATTTGGCAGGACTTGCTGTTGCAATTTGCTGGTTCGCCCGTTCCAAGTAGAGAGTTGGGCCCTGTGGTTCGGGCTTAAGCTTGGGCCGCGTCGTCTTTAGAGCGGAGGGCAGTGCGTGAGGCTGGTTTCACAGAGCAGCGAAAACCTCCCGCTCTCAACAGTGGAAGGATAACGTGTCAGTGCACTGCTAGCCCAGATTGTCTCCTGGGTTGAAACCAGTTGAACCATCACCTTTTTCACTTTCTTTTTTATTTCGTCACCTTTTTTTTTTGTATTTCTATGCACGAACTGCCTAACACACCACATTTTCATCTACACTTCATCCGATAATTTTGAATGACGAGAAGGCTATATCCCAATATTCGGGCTTCACTTTGTCGACTGCAAAGACAATCTCAAACGCATTCCTAAAGACTCTTCTACTAAGTTCCTAAGGCAAGGCTTGACGTACTCAAGTTTCGGTATAAAATCCAGATGGTTGATCTAGCTCATCTACTTCCATGCACACAATTCCGTATATGTGTTGAGTAAGAGAAAACTGTAAAGAAAGAGTGGTAGAATATGTACTATATATGCATTGAATGTTCAATTTCATAGGCTTGTTTTTGTGAGAATGCCATGTACTTTTTAATGCTGTCTGATAAGACTCTCATAGATTTGTAATATACTTGTCATATAGCAAGCAAAACAACCTTAATTCTTTGGTTTGTCCATCCTCTTATCAATTGATTGAATAATTGAATTGAAGAATCATTTTTTATTCCTCTTTCCTACTAAAAATAATAAATTGCTTATGACACTACAAAACAGTTACCATGCACTACTTTCTGATGACAAAACAAAACGGAAAAACAGACGGAGAGGAGTGCAAAATACCCAAATCCCATTTGATAGAAACCTTTGCTGACTTTTGGGATGCCAGACCCACCTTTCTTGGATGCTGAATTCCTAGATATGATGTATCATGAGGTTCAAAACTCAAAACTTTCTCTTCCAAAAAGAAAAGTAAAAAACTTCTTTAAACTCTCAGCACATGCAAGACGTGTTTTTCCCTAGTACTGAATCGCGGGCATCAAATCAACTGAACTCAATTATATTGGTCGGTTTGGTTTGGTTTTGACAACGAAAAAAGTCAAACAATTTCAAAATTAAACTGAAACAATTTACCTTTTGTTTGGCTCAAGTTTGAAACTTTTAAAACCAATCATGTATCTTTTAATTATTAATTTATTTATTTTACACATGTCAACTTATTATAGGTTATTTAGAGAGCTATATAAATATTATATGCTGTAATGACAAACAATATTGAGGAGATTTATATGTATTTTATATTTATGTGATATTGTAATTAAGAAATCGTTGACTAGCATGAGATTTTATTAAATTGAAACGTAACTCTATTCGACTTGATATATTTTGAGTTTTGAAAAACTTAATGAATTATTATGCGTGAAGTGTGAATGTTTAGAATATTAACACTCTAAAAATGTTAATGTTTTTTAGCAATTGAACTGAACTTATTAACAATGGTTTGGTTTGGTTAGCTTTTAATGGTGGTATTAGTCAAAATCAAACCGTTGATCTTAGTTGGTTCGGTTATATATTTGGTGTCAAGCAGAATCAAATTGATCCGCGTCCACTCCTAGGACTGGTTTAAGAAACCAGAAATTATAAATAATGTTTTTCATCATTCTTCAGCTGTTATACTAATTTATTTTTGTAAAAAATCTTTGATCGAAAGAATACCAAAATTAATGAAGATACAAATCATAGCGCAATTTTATTCGTCCAATTGGGTTGGTTAACAATGAAACATAAAATGTAAAACTGAAAATTAAGATCATAATTCAAGCGTTGGATTATTAGTACTGCAAAAACTGTTTTAGCTACTTTTGCTTAGAAGCCAAAAATCTTATCCTCCAAATTCGAGAACATCAACGTAATAACAGATTAACCATAAAATTAAGGACGGATTGCAGACCACACGAACATCAGTTGGAATTAATATGTACTAGAAGTCTAGCACCCTAAATACCAAACTCCTAATATAACCTGCGCTTACTATCTAGACAAGGTTATCATTTTCTCAGTTTGTTAATTGTTTCCGATTGTTGGCCAAAAAATAATAAAGAAAATATTGTTTAATTCTTGTTAAATTGTTTCTTGTTCATGGCTATACAAGAAGAGGTCCTATATATTCTTGTGAAGGATGGGTTAAGTTTAATTAATCTGATGATAAAGAGTGATTAAGGATTAAGACTAGGGTTTTTGTTTGGAGGTCATGGAGTTCTTACCATCATGGTTAAGGATTGTACAAGGGATGTGTGCTATTGCTTTTATTATTGCCTCTTTGTCACAAGGTTTGTAGTTTGTAATTATAAAATTAACTTAGATCAACATCTGAAATCTTAAAATTGTTCTTGATAATTATTTTTTGCTTTGTTTGCTCACCATATTGCATCAACAACTAAGACAAAAATACAAGTGTGGAACAGTTCTTCATATAAAAATATGTTGAAGCACGGATTTTCCTATCGAGAAAACAAGCCTTCGGTTTTTTTTTTATTTTTTTTATTTTTATTTTTATTTTTTATTTTTGTGGTTATTTTCAAGCTGCATGCATTAGGCAACTCAAACATGAAAAAGGTAACTAAATTTAATGCATATGTTGATGCAGCTGATGTGAATGCTGAGAGCGAGTTTCAGCCATTGCGAAATGCATCAAACCCCGAAGAACTAAAAGTGAAGAGGTCCGACTTCCCTAGTGATTTCGTGTTCGGAGTCACCACTGCTGCTGCACAAATGGAAGGATCTGCAAAAGAAGCAGGAAGAGGACCAAGTGTTTGGGACTACTACATTGAGAAATTCCCAGGTTTATATATACACACACACATTATATCTATCAGCTGCTATAAGATCATATTATAATGCATGCATTTCTTTTCTTAGTTTAATATGCTCTTTCTGTTTTGCTTATGATTATTTTTGTTTGCAATCAGGACGGATTGCAGACCACACGAACATGTTTACAGCCATTGATTCATACAAGCGATACAAGGTGCATATTGAGCTAGCGAAAACCAAGTTTCTCTAGTCTTTGGCATAAATATTTAACCAAATATTTGTAATTGTAGGAAGAAGTGAAGAATCTCAAGGACCTTGGAGTTGATTCTCACAGATTTTCCATCTCTTGGACCAGGATTCTTCCTAGTAATCAATTTTACCGAGTTCCTTTTTTTTTTCCTCCGCTAATCAGTGGTTCCGCTAATCTGTAAATTAAAATTGAGGGGTTTTATGATTAATCTCTACTAAACTCTTGCCCTATGTATGTTTGAAATTCTCAATGTGTAGAGGGAACCTTGAGTGGTGGAGTAAACCAAGAGGGTATCGATCACTACAACAACTTCATCAACGAACTAATCAAGAATGGTAAGAATCTCTGTTCAAGGAAATCCTTTATATTACGACATTAATTAATCTTGTTATATATTATACATAAGATCCTTTTATATCAATATCGTCAAATGAAAAAAACTCCACTTCAGTCGATTTGGACCTCCACTTAGTTTCACCCAAGCTTTGTTGAACTTGTATACCAGAATGATCCCATAGATTTCTGTAATCTCATGAAGTTCGACTCTAACATCACTTGACGGGGTTAACTATCACATCAAAGTTGTTCTAATATTTCACTTTTATGTAGACATCACACCATTTGTGACCATAATGCACTTTGATCCACCACAAGCTTTGACAGACAAGTATGGCGGCATCCTCAATCACTCCTTCGTGTAAGCACCTTCTAAATTACATCCATTTCATTTCTCTTAGTTTAGGATAATATACAATTTAGTCATTGACATAAATTCTGATATTTTCTTCGTCACGTTTTGCAGGAAAGATTTCAAGGATTACAGTGAACTTTGTTTTAAACTTTTTGGAGATAGGGTGAAAAATTGGTTTACAATCAACGAGCCGTGGATCATGGCGAAAATGGGGTACGACAAAGGCGTTGGTCCGCCGGGCAGGTGTTCTGTTCAAACTGTATTTCCATGCACAAATGGTGGTAATTCAGCCACGGAACCTTACATTGTGGCACACCACCTTCTCCTTGCCCATGCTTCAGTCGTTGAGCTTTACCGGAAGAAATTTCAGGTGAAATGTTCACACTGAATCTGTTGAAATGAATGAAACCTTGTCTTTTGCGTATCTCAAATTAATGAGATAAATGTTTTTTCTTGGTTAATATTGGTTTTTAGGATAAACAAGGCGGACAAATTGGAATTAGTCTTGTAGGACAATATGTCATGCCTTATTCGAATTCGGCAGAAGACAAAGCTGCAGCAGAAAGAATATTAGACTTTGAACTTGGATGGTTAGTAGATATATCTACATTGGTCCTAAATTTAGTTGCTCGATTGGTATAAGAAGTCTTCTAGTTGTAAATTTTCCTAAAAACAATATGATGTTCTTGTTTAGGTTTATGGAACCATTAGTATATGGATCATATCCAGAGAGTATGAGACGTTTGGTCAAGGACAGGCTACCACATTTCACTAAGGAGGAGGAGAAGATGATCAATGGATCCTTAGGTTTTGTCGGCATCAACTATTACTCCACAAGATATGGTAGAAACGTCCCAGCAAAACCACAAGGACCAATCTCTTATAGCGACGATATTTTAGCTTTGGCGTTGATCACAAGTAAATTTCATAATATCTCAATGTTACTTCTTTTGTGTGTGCACACGTGTGTTATTATGCCATTGACGGTTAAATTGATAGGACTCACACGGTTTTTTCATGTTGTGATTGTTGTAGATGAAAATGGAACCCAAATTGGTCCTCAGGTATACAAAAGAGCATTGACCCATGCGCAAGGATGATACGCATGTATAATTTTGTACTATGTAGTTTCCATCTTTCTATATATAGCAAAACTAAATTCTTTCATCCGTGTAGGCTGGAGGAAGTCGGTTCGTCTACAGTTACCCACAAGGCCTGGAACAACTTCTAAAGTTTATGAAGAAGAAGTACCAGGACCCTAAAATCTACATTTCTGAAAATGGAATAACCGAGGCAAAGGACGATAAACTAAGACTTAGTGACGCACTTAAGGATCCACATAGAATTCAATCCATTCTTCGCCATTTGTACCGGATCAAGAAGGCAATAGAGTAAGTCACTGCAATCTATGTTTACAAGTTTGAGGATGTATACATTCATTTACTTATGTTGTTTCTGTCTTTGTTTTCGAAGGAGTGGTGTGAATGTCAAAGGATATTTCCACTACACTTTATCTGATAATTTTGAATGGGGAGAAGGCTATATCCCAAGATTCGGGCTTTACTACGTCGACTACAAAGATAATCTCAAGCGCATTCCTAAAGAGTCTGCTAAGTGGCTCCCTAAGTTCCTAAAGGGCGAGGCTTGATGTACTCAAGTTTCGATATAAACTCCAGATGGTTGTCAAGCTCTTCTTTCTTGCACACAATTGCAGAAAACTGTAAAGAAAGAGTGGTAAAATATGTACTATATTTTCCTTGAATGTTCAGTTTTATAGGCTTGGTATTTCTGTGGGAATGCCCTGTACTTTTAATACTCGCATAGGTTTGTAATATACTTGTTATATTGCAAGAAAAACAATCTTACATCAACTTCTTTGATGGTCCAATATCCTAGTGGATAGGGTGTTTGGTTTTCAATCATGCGTTCGAAACTCTCCAATGCCGTAAATTGTTAGAATAGTTTCGAACTTTCCCATCTCCTTAATAATAATAATTAAAAAAATAGAAAAGAGAGTTTAAGGGTTTCTTACACTCAATGAAACATGCAAGTGAAGCAATTGTATCTCCCATCGCAAGGAGGCAGGAGTTTCTTATATTGTCCTATTTTCCCTTATTCCTGCTGTAAATAATTGGGTGCATGGGAAGGGGGATTAAATTTTCAATAGCAAAAACACGTCTTCAGTTTGTTTTTTATTATTTTCCGAAAAAGCCTGTACTAGGCAACTGAAACATGAAAATTTAGGGTTGAAAAAATTGACAGTCATTACTTTAAGTGCAAGAAAAAAAAGTGACTAAGTTTAAGTGGATGTTTTGATCAATCGTTGCAGTTTCTGCGCAAAATGCATCAAACCCTCAAGAACTCAATGTCAAGAGGTCCAACTTTCCTAGTGATTTCGTGTTCGGAGTCACTACTGCTCCTGCACAAATAAGGATCTGCAAAAGAAGCAGAAAGATGACCAAGTGTTTGGGACTGCTGCGTCGAGAAATTCCCAGGTTTATATATCAGCTGTTTGGGACCAAGTGTTTTGTTTATGATTTTTTGTTTAGATTCAGAACGGATTGCAGACCACACGAACATGTTTACAGCCATCAATTCATACAAGCTGTACAAGGTGCATATCGAGCTAGCAATAATTAAGTTTCTCTCGTCTTTGGCCTAAATATATAACCAAATATTTGTAACTGTAGGAAGAAGTGAAGGCTCTCAAGGACCTTGGAGTTGATTCTCACAGATTTTCCATCTCTTGGAACCGGATTCTTCCTCGTAAGTAGTTATAATTTTACCTAGTTTTATTGTTCCGCTAATATGCGGTTTCGTGGGAGCTACATCTTTGAATTAAAATTGATGGTTTTATGCTTAATCTCAGCTAAACTTGTCCCCCATCGACCACCGCAAAATATATACAGCGCTTTGTATACCTAGTTACATGTTCACTGTTTGCTGAGCTAAGGCATGCTAGCTTGTAACCCAAATGGGGGCACCAAGGTGGTGGGACATCGGTTCGGTTCGACCCATTCGGCAGGACTTTCTGTTGCAATTTGCTGGCTCGCCCGTTCCAAGTTGTGAGGCTGGTTTCAAAGAGCACCGAAAACCTCCCACTCTCAACAGTGGAAGGATTATGGGCTGGTGCTTCACTAGCCCAGATTGTCTCATGGTTCGAGACCAGTTGAACCATGTCTTTCTGTTAGATTTCCCGAAATAATGGAAAACTTCGATTCAAGTAGTTTATGTACTTGGGATACAATTTGTGACCACAGTACTGTCTCTGTTAGATTCTCCTGTCGGAATAATAGAAAACTTTTGTTCAAGCAATTTATGTACCTGCATTACAAATTTGACCATAATAATTTCTCTATTGGATTCTCCGTGAAATACGGGAAAATTCTATGCAAGCAATTTATATATGTACCTGCGGGTGATTTGCCCTATCATGCTCTAGTCACAACATTTGTACATTTAGATACTACTACCGGTACTATCAAGAGGATCAGCTGTCAAGAGTATCTATCCAGCAATAGATCCTTTAGATCCCCATCAACTATGCTCCAACCTTGGATCTCCGATGAAGAATACTTGGTTTTTTCTTCTTCTTGTTTTCATCACATAGCGGGTTGACTGTTACGCTAAAGAGTTTCTCAAATTTCAAGATTTATATTTTATAGTACGAAACTAATAACTAAGCTGCATGTTATTACATTGTGGAAGTTTAACATCACACAACGGATTGATTGTTATAAAGATGAGGATGCCAAATCATGACATACATTCTGTTTTTAATTACCTAATTGTAATGTGCTATGTGTACATGTTAGTTAGAGTTGTTATTTCTGGTATGCCTATATATACCATCTCATGTAATTATTTCAGTTGTGTAATGAAAGTGTAATATTTCAGAAAGATATTTCTCTCAGTTTCTTCATGGTTTCATCGCCAATTGCCTCACGGCTTTTCTCGATCCTCTTCTCTTCCGCTCTCCTTCTCTGATTTCTACCCGATTCGATCGCATTTCTTGCTGCGTTTGTCATTCCGATCTTCGATCATTGATCTAGTTTCTTGATTTCCATGGCATCTCCGTCTGCGACTGCTTCTCCTTCTGAGTCGGTTCCCATTCCAAACCCTAATCCCTTTTCAAACCCTAATTCCTCTCCTTATACCTCTCTCACAATCCAAAATATTGGTAGTATGGTGCCAATCAAGCTCAAGCGGTCCAATTACCTCCCATGGTGTGCTCTTTTTGCTCCAATTCTTCGGCGCTATCGTCTTCTTGGTATAGTTGATGGTACCGAACCTTGTCCGTCACCACTTATGCCTGATCGCACTCTGAATCCGGCGTTTGAAGTTTGGTATGAGAAAGATCAAAACCTCCTGATCTGGTTCAATTCCACCTTATCTGAGGAGGTGATTCCGTTCACCGTTGGTGTTTCGTCATCTCGTGATCTCTGGCTCAAACTTGAGCAACGATTTGGGGGTATTTCTGATGCGCATGTTCATCAGCTTCGATCCCGTCTTCAAAGCATTCAAAAAGGATCACAATCCATGTCTGATTACTTGCAAGAGCTCAAAGAAATCTCAGATTCTCTCACTGCTGCTGGAGCCCCAATCTCTGATCGCGATCTCATTGCAGCCACTCTTGCTGGGCTTCCTGATGAGTTTGAGTCTTTCACGGATTCCATCATGCTTCGCTTATCCTCGACATCGTTGGATGAATTGCACGGCTTGTTACTCACCAAAGAACTCTCTATGATTTGTCGCAAGAAAGCTGCCTCTTCCAATCTTATTGAACCGTTTCATGCTTTATCGGTCAAAACTCAGCCCCCATTACTTCCCACCCCGCCTCAGGCGTATGTATTTCAGAATCAACCCCTGCAGCACTCTTTTCGGTATAATTCGAATCGTGGAAAGCCCAATCGCTTCTCCAATAATCGTGGTCATCGCGGTCATTATCGTGGCAACAATTTCTCCAATACCTACAATCGCCCCAATACTGTTGCTCCCTCTCGAGGCTCTTCTTCTGGTCCTCGAGCCCCTTGTCAAATCTGTGGCAATTCCAGTCATGACGCCCTTGATTGTTATGATCGTATGAATCCGGAGATTTCTGGTCGAATTCCTCCTTCCAAGCTCCAAGCGATGTGTGCTCGTTCCAGTGCCAAGTCTCCTCCTACTTGGTTGATTGATTCTGGAGCTACCTCGCACATCACCAATGACATCTCCAATATTCACTCTCCTACTCCCTACAATGGTGAAGACAAAGTATACATAGGTGATGGTAAAGGTTTGTCCATTTCTAATGTTGGTTCCTCTACATTCTGTACACCTGCTACTTCCTTTAAACTGAACAATGTTCTTCATGTACCTCACATGAAGCACAATTTGTTGTCTGCCTTTCAATTTCTCCGAGACAATTCTTGTTCATTAACTCTTGATTCTACTGGATCCGTTGTTAAGGATCGTTCTACGGGGAAGACGCTTTTGCGGGGTTCAGTTGAAGACGGTTTCTATCCTCTGCAGTCCTCTCATCGTTCTTTCTCTGGTACTGTTTCTCCTTCACTCTTTGCCTCAGCTTTCGTCAGTATTAAAGCTCCAGTCAAGATATGGCACAGTCGGTTGGGCCATCCTTCTTCTCCTATTTTTCGCAAGGTTCTAGCTCGGAATAAACTTGCTCTCCATGGTACTTCTTCAGTTGATTTTTTCTGCTCAGATTGTGCTATAGCTAAACACCACAAGCTTCCTTTCAAGGCTGCAAGTTCCTCTGCATCCCACAGCTTGGCACTACTTCATTGTGATGTTTGGGGCCCTGCTCCTGTCCTTTCAGTTAGTAGTTTTCGCTATTATCTGTTGATCGTAGATGATCATACTAAGTATAGCTGGTTTTTTCCATTAAAAGCAAAATCTGAGGTGTATTCTACATTTGTAGCCTTCAAAACATATGTAGAAAATTCTGTTGGAAATAAAATCAAGGCTATTCGTTCAGATTCAGGGGGTGAATTTGTTAATTCTTCTTTGCAAGCATTTCTTCAATTACATGGCATTTCTCACCAACTGAGTTGCCCACACACTCCTGAGCAGAATGGTTGTGTCGAACGGAAACACAGGCATCTTGTAGAGACCGCTCGCACTCTTTTAGTTGCATCTCATGTTCCTCAACAATATTGGGTTGAGGCTATCTCTACTGCTCTATATTTGATCAATCGATTGCCCATATCTGGTCTTCTTTCTTCTCCGTGGGAGTTGCTATTTCATACTGCCCCAGATTATACTCGCCTTAAGATCTTCGGCTGCAGTTGCTATCCTTGGTTAAAGCCCTATGTCTCTTCTAAGTTGGATGGTAAAAGTAAGGAATGTGTTTTCCTTGGCTACAGTCTACAACACAAGGGCTACAGATGCTTGGATCCTCTCACCAACCGGGTATACATATCCCGGCATGTATTGTTCAATGAGACCGTCTTTCCCTTTTCACACACTTCTATTTCCCAGTGCTTCCCCTCACCTGACCCTGCTTCTCCTGTCATTGATCTTCACTTCCCTCCTTCTTCCTCTTCGCCTTCTCCTGCTCCTCCACCTCCTTCCCCTGTTGTTTCCCATATTTCCTCACCCTCCCCTTCTCCATCTCCTGATCATTCTATTGATCCTTCCTCTTCTGTAGCT